ATTCTTTCCAGATTAGGATCTACTTCCCCATTTGCTGTTCTCAGAAATTAAATCTTGGGGAGGAAAAAGAGGTATAGCCCTCTGGAAAACACTTGGATGTGTTTGGATCTGAAATGGGAAAGGTATAACAAAAACGCGAAGCTGCGTTTTGTGGCTGCCTGACTCACACGGCTTGACCTGAAATACTCTCCAGCTTTAGAGGCTGAGCTATAATTAGGCAACTGTGATGTGGGGAGAGGACAACAACTCAACTCTACAGGGACTGATTTCCACTAACCCTTCACAGCAACAAATTCCTTAGGTTAAACAGAAAGTGTTGCTTTGTGCGAAACACAGCACAGAGTAATTGCCACTTGATGGGGAAGCTGCTTTTTTAAGAGGGAGCTAAAACAGCCAGGTGAGAGAGCTATCTTAGTAAAGATGTGAGTTTGGGGTTTCTACGCCTACCGTTGTGTTGCGTTATTTGTCCGGGTGTCCTTTTATATATAAAAGAAAAATCCGTTTGCGAACCATTGCGAACGATAGCCAAGGAATTTAATCACTGCTCAAATCATACAAACGCGAAGCTACAAATACCGGCGAGCAGCGGGGAATGAAAGGGGTTTGTACCCGTAAACTCACATGCACACGTACACACGTAAATTCTAGTGGGACCTGGAGTCGTAAAGCAAAACAAAAAACCTCGAGATACGGGCTGGTGAGCTGGGATTTGAGACGACATGTACGATCACGCAGGAACCTGCCCTTAAAACAACATGCAGGGATGTTTACTCTGCAGGACCTTTCACAACATCTGCTTGTGGATCCACCTCTTCAGCCCCTTCCCTGCAGAGAGAGGGATAGGTTGGCATTGTTCACTCCCGTGTGTAAATTCTTGTGCATACAACGTCGTCAGCACCAAAAGTCTGGAAAGAGAAGAAAGCGAGAAGGTGAACTAACAGAAGTTTTCCCCCCTTTCACAGAGAAGACGGCGGTGGGTGGGGGTGCTATGCTGGTTGAGTATAATGAGAATTGAAACCCAGCATCAGCAGAGGGCACCAGCTTGGGGAGGAGCCAGGGAACCGTGGTCTCCCTTCGAGACCTTTTAAATCCGCCCTCACAAGATTCAGGGGTTTCCTTAAGGAAATGCCTCGTCTAGACACTGATTTTTGGAAAGATGAGAGTTCTTGCATTGCTGAGTTCCGGGGCCTGGGGAGTGTGCCTAGACTGGGAGGTCTCCGAAGCACGTTGATCCCACCGCAAGATTTTGCTGGGCCCAGATACCCTAAATTTCATATCCTGATCAGAATCGGTCTCCTGGCGCTTCTCCAACCCCCACCCCACCCCCACCCCCAGAAAACATGCAGACACAGGATTCGAGTTAGGCTGGGCCAAAATGGTGCCTCAAAGGGAATGCTGGCACCGCTCTAGATCAAAGACGTGCCTCTACTTTCAGATTTCATGTCTGAACGTTTCACCTGCTGCGGTCGGTTTGGAAGAACGTTCATTGGTCTGCGTCCCACCGTTCCCTGGCTTAATCTGCTGTGACGTGTGGGCATCCGTGTGCGCGTTCTGGAGAAGACTCGCTTTCATGCCGATCTTTTGAACTCTGGTGATAATTGGTTTGGAGACTCCCGTCTCCCCCCCCCCCCCCCCCCCCCCCCCC